ACATTATGAGTCACAAGTAACGCTCGTCTAAGGACTCGCTTAGCTCTTTTTCGTGGAAATGGTGTTCTACAATACTACGGGACCTTTTGCTTATATAACTTGCAAACACTAACATCAGACTCGTGTTCCCCAACCTCAAAAACCATTTCGTCAAATTTTATATAAAAAAATGGTCCTTTGTCTTAAAAAACTAAAATCAGATTCGAAATCCCTGTATCGAAATACCTCTAGAAATGTCTTTTTCGAAAAATCGATTTTCGATGTTTTTTTGACCTTGCGGACAGATAAGCAAGTAAACAATTTATTCTTACATTTTTCAACATTTTCCGATCGAATATTAACATACATTGCCATTGATGATATTATTTCATTATAAAGACCAATATTTTCACCGGGTGTTTTATAACCATAATGAAAAACAAGTGGCATTTCAATACGAAAACCTTCTTCAACTGATGCTGGTCGACGAACAACCATAGCCGCTAATAAAAGAAAAACATTTTAGTAAGTACAAGTCAAACTATTTATTCCTACCAATAGTTCCTGGAATCGATATTTGATTTTGTCCAACATCAAGATCAACTAATATTGGTGTTCGACCAAGTCGAGCTGCCCAATTTACAAGCATACGACATACTGTACTTTTACCTACATCTGGCAAACCCGTTACCATTATCTATAATAAATAATAATATTTTCTAGATAAATTCAAATCTTTTCCTGTTCTCTTACACGAGGTCCACGTGTTTTTTCAGTTTCAGCTTTTTGTCTTAATTGTTCTAGCATACCGTGTACATTTAAATAAATATGCATCGGATTTTCATCACGTGCAACATAATAATCTTCATGTGGTGAGATAATCTAAATAAACATAAATTTAATATCATTAAAAAAAACATTTTTTTCTAATTTACATTAACTGTACAACCCCAATAAGTAAATATTGCAAATTTCATTCCAGATGTAAATTGATATTTTTGTCCAATAGCTAGTTCAGTACCGAAAATTTCGGCTTTACCTGAACGTAACTGTAAATATAATTAATAAGATTAATTTTCATATAAAGAAAAAAACAACATCCACTTACTTCAACTGTCAATGTTTCGTCTACATCACCACGTAATTCTTGTCCGGCTTCAATAACAATTTCTTTCTAAAGATGAAATAAATTCATCGAAGATAAAAATCATAACGCAAAAATAAACAAATTACCGTCGTCATTATTCTGAAAAAATAAAGATATGTTAATGCTTTATTTTAATAAGATAAAGAGAAAATAACAGTTTTTCTTCTATATTTTTTTAAAAAATTCGATAAAGACAAGACGTTCATGCATAAAAAAAATACAAAAAAAAAAAAAGAATCGCCACCCTAATTGCACAATCATCGGAATTTCAACTATAAACTTTGTCAAGCAGGAAAAAAATAGATTCGTTATTTTTTCATTTTCTTATCATTTAAATTCCAAATAACTATCTGACCAAATAAATCTGCTGAACTAATTTTTACTAGATTGCCATTCTCTTTTTGATAAGGTACAATTTGTCTGAAAACAGAAAAAACTAAATACAAGAAAATTTGTCAAGGTAATATTTACGTAATCATGCTCTGATGAGTTGAAACAGGTTCAGGTGTTTGAGTTTGCATTGCTGGTTGATCAAAAAGACGACTTGAAACATAAAAAGAAAAAAAGAAATTTAATTTTTTCTATTCAACGGAAGAATGACACTTAATGGAAAAGTATCATCAAAAAGAGTACTATTAAGTTTTTCTTATGTAATAAGTAATGTAGTTAAGTATCAATGACGCCATTCGGACCTTTTTAACTGAATCAGAACTATTAATATCATACTCCTTCTTTCAAATCATGCATAAAACACTGCAAACACACTCGGTTTTCTTTCATACGCTGCTTGATATGGTGTAAAAAAATTAATTTCGTCACTAGAGATATGTCGAGAATAGAGAATATGAAAAAAAACAAATTAAAATTCTAACCCAATTGATTGTCGACCAGTTGATGTTTCTTGTCGATCAAGTTTTTCAAGAAAATCAATTGTACCATTTCGTTGATCGTAATTATAAATTAATGGAGAAAATTCATGTCCCTTTGAAAACATATTTGATAAAAATAAAAACGTTTTTTTTTCTCTAAACATACTCCAACGATTATTGTCGATTCATTCATAAAAATAATACAACGAAATGGTAAATAACTCGTTATTTCCATGGTGATTCTAAAATTTATGTTTATATTCTTCTTTAATAGTATAAAAATAAATTTACCGAGATGGATTATCAGCTGTAACAGCAAATATAATTGAGTTATGTGATACCCATGCAATATTATCACCTAATGGTGAAAAAGCAACATCATGAATCCAACCAGATTCTAAATATAATCATATGTTTATTAATAAAATTCGTATAGAAAATTAACCTGATTGAAATTCATGTAAAAGTTCTCCTGTATTTGTAATTTTTCCCCAATTCGATGTTCGTGCTTGTTCATCAACAGTTTTAACAAAAGCCGAATAGATTCTATAGAAATAGTTTTTCATCATTAAAATAAATATTTCAAGATTATCTACAAACCGGCATCGATAATCACAACTACCAATTGCAAGTAATTGATTATTGGGATGCCAGGCAATACAAGTTACAGTTGATTTTGGTTTCTTTTTAATCATTTCAGCTGCCCAAAATCGTTGATCTTTTTCATAATAACATACAGCAACATTTTTATCACTGGAACCAATAGCAAATTTATTTTCTATAAACAAAAATCTAATAAATTTAATTTAATTGGTTATTATTGATGAAAACCTTCAGGTGACCATTTAGCACAACATACAGCTCGACTTGTTCGTTGTAATTCAACCATCTGTGGTTTCCAAATATCATTTTCAAATGTCCAAACATATGCATTATAATCCTAGCAAAATTACGAACTATAATGTTTTTTTCTAAAGATATATTTACTGCACTAGCTGTGACGATTTGATTTGTTTTAGGTGCCCAATCAATTGCTAATACACGTGATAAATGTTCACATAATGTATGTGTTAATTTCCATTTACCAGCTACTTTTTGATATATACGTACATCATTTTTTCCCAATGATACAGCAATTTCTATATAAAGAAAATTTTATATTTGTAAAAGAATCTTTCTAATAACATACGTGTTCGATCTTTATTCCATGAATGTGCAATGATTGGTAAATTGCCAAATGAATGTATTTCCGACATCTAAAATTATTTTATTTCGAAAATAAATCGACAAAAAGAATAAATTAAATAATAAAATATATTTATTTCTTTAACCAACGGAAAACATATCTCGTCTCCGTGTATACAAACACACACACACATTCGAATAACTTGTCATAGTTAACAAATGAAAAGAAAGATAAATTATTTTTAGACAGATGGCTCTACTGAACACTAACATTTTTTTTGTTCAACAGTTAATGATCAAGTCACAATTGATTATTTCTATTGTTTAAAAAGATTGCTATGATTAAATACTATCAATCATCTATTAAAATAAATGATCAATTAACCAATTATATTTTGTTCAAGTTTTTAAAACTTTTTATTTTATTATTAAAAAAACTTCATTCAATTAAACAAGCGCTTATAATTTATTTTATTTTTAGACACTAAAATTTTTCTTTATTTATTGGTTTGAATTATCCGAAAAGCTGCTTGTATTCTTAAATAGGATTAAGATAGGATTGACAAGTTTGGCATAATATAATGAGATGACTAGCTAATCAATCAGAACTATATTTTCTCTTAAAAGAAAAATCTTTCTTTTTAGTTCAATCCAAATTGTACTTGATTTATTTCCAATTACATTTTTTTCCTTATGATGCAATCAGGAATTATCTATAAACTGTCTTTTTTCCTCTGTCCGTTCTTATTTACATGTGATTGACACATATGACCAGCAAACGAAGAAGAAATGACTTAATCGAATTTCATCTTACGATGGAATTCTTCTACATTCGAAGCTTATTAATACGATCGGCATGTATTGAGAATTCACTAGACGATGTCAAGCTAACTGGAAAAAAAAAACCTAAAATCTAATTTAGTTAACAAAATAAATTTGACTAGCCACTGTCCTCAGTTAAACTAGAACAAATCCGAAAGAAACGGAAATGATAACGCATCAATTGATCAAACGCGTCCAATAAGTTTTCATTATCTCATCATCGACCAGTTGTTCAATTGCGTTTACATAAGTGAACAAGAGAAACAGAGAAAAAGCTCTTCTTCAATTTCATGAAAGATAAAGAAAAATATGCCCAGTGGAATTATTTTATATGATTTGTATTCACAGATTGTACTAACAAAAAAAAAGAAGAAAAACTTTTGTACATTGACTGGTCAGAAAAAAAAGGCGACGATGAACATTGATCATTTCTCATTGTTCATGTACGTCGGAGGTTTTTCTTGTGTCGTTTAAATCTAACGTAGAAATACATCCTTGACGAGCGAACAGAATCTTAATGAATAAAATTTTCTTTTTTTTTTTTTTTTTCTTTGTCTAAAAATGGAAAAGATCGATGGCGGTAGTTTAAATGCAATGTGTTTTTTCCAATGTATAGTATGTCTCCGCCTTCAACTTCTTCGCCTTCTTCTTCTTCTTGTTCTTCTTTTTCTTCTGCTTCCAATTTTGATTCGATAGGCATCATAGGCATACACTCTTATACTCGCATGCACTTAAGCCGTTCAAAATTGTCGATCGGCGTAAAAACAAAACCTCCGAAGACTAGCAAGTAAAGAGAATATGCGCATATATGCATGTTACGAGATTATAACATGAATAACCTTTTCCACATTCTATTGTTCACAATATAATCATCAAGTTGCTTGCTTCTTTTTGTTTATGACACCATTTGTACGATAGAGTCCATCAAGGATACTTATTCTATATCTTCCTGTTCAGATCATATCTTGTGTTCAAACATATACATATACACATGATTGATGACGTAAGTTGGAAAAATATATTTAAAATCATTTTTTATGAGTAAAATTTTGTTTTAGGCGATATCAAATTATTTTCTTTATTCTATTTACTTTTTCTAATTCGATTATACAATTACAATCTGAACATTTGAAAAATAACAACTGTCCACACCTGTTTAAAACATTGAGTGATTGCACTTGTGTTCAGACAAATACAATTGATTGTAGTTATTCAACAACAATTACCCATTTACCACGTTCATGGACTTCAACAAATCATAACTTAACATTATTTACACAATCGATACTACGCTTTGATCTTCTCCATACACCATCAATTACATCAATAAAAACAAACGATTTTCAAGTAAAATTTTTGTTTTTTTTTTTCGTTATTTTTCTATGAAATTTTATTCATTAGGGTCTTTATAATCTTCGAGATCTATCAATAATCAATACTGGACTTATTACAATTCAACCACATGCATTTCGTCATCTTCATCGTTTACATGAACTTCGTATTGAATTAAATCGAAATTTAATTGAATTAAAATCATTTGCATTAAGTGATATTGAATATGTACATCGTATATCATTGAAATCAAATTCAATACGTGTTATACATACAGAAGTATTTCGTAATACACATTTTGTTGATATATTAGATCTAAGTGACAATCCGTTAGAGGTAAGTTTTAATAATACTTTTTTTATTATTCATTAAGGTTAAGTAGAGAAAAATATAGTTCAAAGTCACTTCGGAAACAAAAAAATCGGATATAATGCTTGGTCATGTAACCTATAACGGATAATAAACATATTTCCGGTATAAAGAAATGACATTTGAGTAAGAGGATATTCATTGATGGTAGAATGTTGGAAATGTTTTCTAAAAATAACGTATTTATTCGCGTGAAATATATTCACTGAATAGATGTTAAGAAGTTCATCTCTATAGATCATCGTTTTTATTAGTAATCAGATTTGACACGTACTCTATCTTCTTAAGTAATTCGCAAAAATAAAATGATGTTCATATATGGGCTTTTTCTTTTGCTGTAATATAAAAATATTTAAAAACAATGCTCAATAGTAATATCATAGAAATACAGGAAATTAAATGATAATTAATAAATGAATGGGATATAATTATGCATTGATACTGATGTCCACAGGCATTTCGGCTTACAGATATCATAAGAAAATATTTATTTAAATCAAATAAATACTATTCTTTCTTTATTAAATTAATATTAATGATAAAATTTATAACAGATCGACCCAATCAATACTAAACTGATCTTGTTTCCTTCTCCTATCTAATATCAATAAGATTTGGAATCATTTATTAAATCTTCTCTCTTTCTAATTCTGTTATTATTTATTTTTCTTCTTTATATAAATAGATTATTGAATCCTATGCTTTTAATGGTCTTAAATCAGTTGGTACTTTAATCTTATGTTTATTACCCACATGTCCAATAAAACAAATTGATTCATTCGCTTTTTTTTGGATTTCATACATGTGATAAAATAATATTAACCGGTATTCATACATCATTACGTTCAAATTCATTTTCCTATATGACATCAGTTAATCTTGTTAATTTATCTCATAGCGAAATAACACATATAAATTCATATGCATTTCAAGATTGTGAACATATCGGTGAAATTGATTTATCATCATCATTAATATCAAATATTGATTCTCATGCATTTGATCAACTATATAATGTTTCATTATTAAATTTAAAAGGAAATTTAATACGTTTATTTGAAAAAACAATTTTTCAACAATTAGCACATACAATAAAACAAATTAATCTTGATAATAATCCAATACGATGTGATTGTACACTTGAATGGTATTTAGAAGAACGTTCAAATCGATATAAATTACCTGATGTATGCACAGGTCCAATTGGATATGAATGTTTAAGTCCAAATGAATTACAAAAATCTCAATTAATATGTTATCAAACAGAAAAAAATGATAATCAAAGCAAAGAAATAAATTTTTTGTGAAAGACGTGAAAAACATATATCTGTTAGAGAATCATCTGCATCTTTGTATGAATTAAATAGTTTTTTGTTTATTTTAATCATATTTATATTTCCAAACAAAATTTTATTTCCTTTGTGAACAAAAATAAAACTTTTACAAATATTCTTTAATTAATTGAACAAAAAAAAAAAAAGAAATGTTAGTGAATATGTCAAATAAACTTGATGATATGCGGAAATTTGAGAAACAATTAAGCATTGGCAAAAAAAAAGTCCTTGTTCTTGATAGGATTGTCAAACTAAGAAATAATGCGATCATAGAAAAGCCGAATTAGTTGATGATGTGCTGAAACCTGAGAAACACACTAAGCATTAATAGAGTCCTTGTTCTCGACGGCGTATTGTCAAGCTGAGAGAT